TGTGTGTGTGTGTGTGTGTGTGTGTGTGTGTGTGTGTGTGTGTGTGTGTGTGTGTGTGTGTGTGTGTCTCTCTGTGTGTGTGTCTGTGTGTGTGTCTGTGTGTGTGTCTGTGTCTGTGTGTGTGTCTGTGTGTGTGTCTGTGTGTGTGTGTGTGTGTGTGTGTGTGTGTGTGTGTGTGTGTGTGTGTGTGTGTGTGTGTGTGTGTGGTTGAAATCCGGTGCTCAGGATGTTCCTGTATGTTTTTCTGCTGGACTGCTGTGAACCCAGAGACCTCCGGAGTGTGTCGGCTACACCAGAGAGATCTCACTGCGTCTAACACACACACACACACACACACACACATTCAGTTACTGACAGTAGATCCTCCTGAATCTCTGCTCTTTGACATGAAGGGATGAAGTCAGTGTTTTCAGGCGCCTCAGACTTGACTCCTGTCAGCTGCTGTGTAACGACCTGAGGGAAGAGCTGCTTCACCAATCATCATCCGTTCAGTACATTTAGTCTTTAGAAAGAGTTGATCTCAACATGAAACTTGTAACATGAAAAAGATTGATCCTGATTTAAACCCTGACCGACAGTCAGCTGGTGAAGTGGGCCGGAGGTGGAGTTTAGAGACTGATCGCCGAGGTGACGCCAGAACTCACAGCCACACTGAAGGAAGACATGGGACAGCGTTTAGGTGCACTAAAGCTGTCCCATGGGTGCAGCTCAGGGCTCAGAGGAGTCTGGTTGTGATTTCTGGTGTCACTGTTCACCGCAGGGCAGAGAGCAGCCGGGAGACGGCAGAGTCAGAGCTGTTGATTGGTGTTTATTAATCCTAAGTCTGGCAGAAAAACATACAGGCTTCCTCCTGAGAGCGCGGCAGGTGAGTTCATCACTTCACTCTACGCTGTGTCCATCAAGGCTTTTATTTTGAAAGGCTCAGAGGAAGTGAAGCTGTGATGTTTGTGTTTGTCTCTGCAGGAGCTTCATCGCCGAGATGCAGCTGTTTGTGAAGCAGCTCGGCAGAAGTAAGAAAGATTTCCGTCTCAATGATGTGATATCTGTTTTTGTTTTTTCCTCCACGCCGGCGACAGTCAGAGCAGCCATTTTGAAGTTCGGCACAAACATGACGAGGACTCGAGGACGAACTGAACAGATTTTGGTGAAAGGAACATGTTTGTTTGGTACAAGACCAACAGAAATCACATCGTCGTCATTGCACAAAATGAAAATGAAAGAATAACCACTCCAGCTGAAATCACCTCAGTTTGTTTATTGCCCTGGTTCCTCAGCCCACTGGCTGCCAGTATCTGCTAAAATAGATCTTCAGGTTCCTGTTTTTAAAGCTCTTCCTGGTTTGGGAGCGGCTCACGCTGCAGGCGGCGCAGCTTGTTTTAACTGGGACTGCAGAATAACCTGCAAACAGCTGTCAGAGATTCAAACCACAGCTCGTCAGAATTCTGCTCTGAAGCGCCTCTAGTGGCCAAAACGTTGTTGTTTGTGTAACTGTCATTTTAAAAGTCAGATTTCAGAGTAAAGCTCAGCTGGCTCGAGGCAGGAGCGTCTGGGTCATGTGCTCTGCTCCGTGTGCTCCGCAGGGATCACGGCTCGAGAGCACGGCTCCAACAAGAAGCTGGCGGCGCAGTCGTGCGCTCTGTCTCTGATCCGGCAGCTGTATCACCTGGGAGTGATCGAGGCGTACTCCGGCGTCACCAAGAAGAAGGAGGGAGAAACTGTACGGCTGAGAGAAGCTCCGCCTTTTACTTTTTAAAATGGAAACATCAGAAAACCAACATGTGTTTGACTCTGTGTGTGTGTGTGTGTGTGTGTGTGCGTGTCTGTGTGTGTGTGCGTGTCTGTGTGTGTGTGCGTGTCTGTGTGTGTGTGCGTGTCTGTGTGTGTGTGCGTGTCTGTGTGTGTGTGCGTGTCTGTGTGTGTGTGCGTGTCTGTGTGTGTGTGCGTGTCTGTGTGTGTGTGCGTGTCTGTGTGTGTGTGCGTGTCTGTGTGTGTGTGCGTGTCTGTGTGTGTGTGCGTGTCTGTGTGTGTGTGCGTGTCTGTGTGTGTGTGCGTGTCTGTGTGTGTGTGCGTGTCTGTGTGTGTGTGCGTGTCTGTGTGTGTGTGCGTGTCTGTGTGTGTGTGCGTGTCTGTGTGTGTGTGCGTGTCTGTGTGTGTGTGCGTGTCTGTGTGTGTGTGCGTGTCTGTGTGTGTGTGCGTGTCTGTGTGTGTGTGCGTGTCTGTGTGTGTGTGCGTGTCTGTGTGTGTGTGCGTGTCTGTGTGTGTGTGCGTGTCTGTGTGTGTGTGCGTGTCTGTGTGTGTGTGCGTGTCTGTGTGTGTGTGCGTGTCTGTGTGTGTGTGCGTGTCTGTGTGTGTGTGCGTGTCTGTGTGTGTGTGTGTCCAGTTGGAGGTGTTTGAGGTCAGCGTGTCTCCAGACCTCCAGCAGCAGCTGGCCACCGTGGTCCAGGAGCTGGGAGTCCACATCCCCCCACCGGTGAGTCACCTGACAGCAGCCTCATCATCATCATCATCATCATCACCCTCAGTGAACACTGTGTGTTTTTAACCTGACGCCTGTTCCCCGGGTCGTCCTGTGCAGCCTGCAGACCCCAGCGGCTCAGTGTCTCTGGTTCAGGGGAAGATGGCGACGTTCGAGCCGTCGCAGCGCCAGAGCGGAGCCGGCGTCGTCCCTTGGTCGCCGCCTCAGGTGAACTGGAACCCCTGGACCAGCAGCAACATCGACGAAGGACCGCTGGCCTACGTGAGTCTGTGTTCTGACGGTGCGGAGGGAAAGCGTTTGTTAGTTTCACCAGGGTCAGTTATTGGTTTACAGATGTTTACCACTGGTTACAGGTGTTTTACTGCAGGTGAACAGACACAGCTCAGACCAGCAGCTGTCTGGAAACCTGTGTCTGGTTTTTTCTTCATGTCAAGGTGACATGGTTCTTTCCTCCACGTCTGTGACTCGGGTGTTCAGACGCCGACGGCTCGTTCCAGCTGATCCCGATGAAGTCGTGTGAACGCAGCACGTTCTTACTGTTTCCACAATGTTTCCACTCATGGAAAACAATCAGCCATCAACTGTCCTGGAAGAAGTTTATGATTCTTTGTTTAATAGAACTCACTCTCACTTTTTCACATAGAAGCTTTTGAGTGTCGGAGGTCCTGATGAGTCTGAGTGTGTAACTCACTGATAATGATCTTTTCTTTTCCCAGTGCACGCCGGAGCAGATCAGCGGCGACCTGCACGACGAGCTGATGGACCAGCTGCAACATGACGACAACCTGCAGAAGGTCGGTCCAGTCCTCCTCTGCTCTACTGTAATGAACATATTGATGTCAGGGATCATGTGACGTAGGTGAAATAATGATGAGGATGTTGATAAACTTTACTTGCTTTACATGAAAAGACTAAATGAACATAAAACATTGAAGACATTCATTTAAAATGAATGGAATAATAATAAAATGATAATAACAATGATAATAATAACTATGAAGGTTGCTTTGTTTCTCCCTGAAGTCTGGACTGAACCTGATCAGGATTCACACCTGAACCTTCAGACAAACCAACGTTAAAATTCATTGATTTTCTCAGATTTTGTTCAGTAATTAAATTGTTCTTTTATATTTTCTGTGAATTTAATCTCACTTCATGTTGGAGCATCATCCATACTGACACTAAATCCATCCAGTTATGTTCTAATTTAAATCATTGTTTCTTTCTGAATGTTGAGCGTAAAGATGTTCAGTGTAAATCATGTGAATCCAGCCGATAGCGACGGTTCTCAGTCGCTCAGGTCAGGAGAACCTGGACCGGATGGACCGGTTCTTGTCCTGGTCTGAGTCTGGCTTTGAGAACAGGTGAACTCCGGGTAACACGTCAAGTGTCTCTGTGGTTCAGATGCTGGCGGAGCGCAACCAGCTGCCCGTCAAACAGTTTGAGGAGGAGATCATGGCGGCCGTCGACAGCAGCTCCGTGGTGATCATCAGAGGAGCGACGGGCTGCGGCAAAACCACCCAGGTCCCTCAGTACATCCTGGACCGCTTCATCAAGGGTGGCCGAGCGTCCGACTGCAACATCGTGGTCACCCAGGTAACGCTCAGCAAATCAAAAACTGGGTCTGAAGCTTCCTGCTTGAGCCCCGCCCACCACCTGCTGGCTCCAGGTGGACAGGTGAAAGAGCAGAGAGCATCAAGATGGTGAGAGGAGGAAACATCAGAGAGACTCAGTCAGACCCAGACTCAGAGGAGGAGTCTGAGACCAGAACCAGAGACTAGCAGACGGGTCAGAACCGTTAGCGTAATTAGCATCTTTTATTTGTTGTTTGTTAGCTTGTAACTGGCAGCAGCTGACACAATGTTAGCGGTTGTGCTAATGCTAACTCACTCTCTCTGTACTGGCGAGGTTTCAGGTGTATTTAGGGTCTTCAGGTGTCCAGTCATGTCTATATTCTGGTGTTGTTAAACTCTCGTCCTCTCTGCAGCCCAGACGGATCAGCGCCGTGTCCGTGGCCGAGAGAGTCGCCTACGAGAGAGGGGAGGACCTGGGGAAGAGCTGCGGCTACAGCGTCCGCTTCGAGTCCGTCCTCCCTCGACCTCACGCCAGCGTCCTCTTCTGCACCGTCGGTACGTGAGCAGACTGAGACCAATGTGTCTCACCTCAGTTATGAGACTAACAACTGTCCACAAATATCTGTCAGTGTTTTGAACGTCGAGCTCCAATCATCAGTGATGAAGGCGGAGTCACAGCTCAACTTTAGCCACAGAGACTCTGCCGTGGACAGAGACACACTGTGGACTCAGAGTTAACCGGCTCAGTGTGGATGTTGTGTCAGTCTGACTCTGATGGATGTTTCAGGTGTTCTGCTGCGGAAGCTGGAAGCAGGAATCAGAGGCATCAGTCACGTGATCGTCGATGAGATCCACGAGAGAGACATCAACGTGAGTTCGTCTCTAAGACTCCTGAACATGTGACATGACATGTGACCAGGGAAAGGTCCGATCATTTCCTGTGTTCATTGACAACCACCACCCCCCCACCCCTTTTGTGTCTGTGCAGACGGACTTCCTGATGGTGGTCCTCAGAGACGTGGTCCAGGCCTACCCAGAGGTCCGCATCATCCTCATGTCAGCCACCATCGACACCACCATGTTCAGAGAATACTTCTTCAACTGTCCCATCATCGAGGTGTTCGGACGAACCTTCCCCGTCCAAGGTAACAGACAGACAGACAGACAGACAGAGAGACAGACAGAGAGACAGACAGACAGACAGACAGACAGACAGACAGACAGACAGACAGACAGACAGACAGAGAGACAGACAGACAGAGAGACAGACAGACAGACAGACAGAGAGACAGACAGAGGGACAGACAGACAGACAGACAGAGAGACAGACAGAGAGACACACAGACAGACAGAGAGACAGACAGACAGAGAGACACACAGACAGAGAGACACACAGACAGAGAGACACACAGACAGACACACAGAGAGACAGACACACAGAGAGACACACAGACAGACAGACAGACACAGACACACAGAGAGACAGACACACAGAGAGACAGACAGACACACAGAGAGACAGACAGACACACAGACAGAGAGACAGACAGACAGACAGAGAGACAGACAGACACACAGACAGACAGACACAGACACACAGAGAGACAGACACACAGAGAGACAGACAGACACACAGACAGACAGACAGAGAGACAGACAGACAGACAGACAGAGAGACAGACAGACAGACAGAGAGACAGACAGACACACAGACACACAGACAGACAGACAGACAGAGAGAAAGAAATGGGGCATGAAATAAAGAGAGAATTACTTCCTGTTGTAGTTTTTTAACGTGACAGAAATCAGACTTTAAGTTTGGGATGTTTCATGTGTTTCCTTGGTGGCAGAGTATTTCCTGGAGGACTGCATCCAGATGACCAACTTCGTCCCTCCACCAATGGACAGAAAGAAGAAAGACAAAGACGAGGAGGGAGGAGACGATGACGTAAGAATCTCTTTCCTGTGATGGTTCAGTCAGAACTGTGTTGAGTAACTGTGTCAGTGTGGAGCCGGTTTTCAACTGGAGTCGTCACTGTGTCCGCAGACGAACTGTAACGTGATCTGCGGGCCGGAGTACACGGCGGAGACGAAGCGTTCGATGGCTCAGATCAACGAGAAGGAGACGTCCTTCGAGCTGGTGGAGGCGCTGCTGAGGTACATCGAGACGCTGCAGGTGGCCGGAGCCGTGCTCATCTTCCTGCCCGGCTGGAACCTCATCTACTCCATGCAGAGACACCTGGAGACCAACCCGCACTTCGGTACGCAGCGCCGCACATCTCACCTCAGACTGAGCCCACAACACGTTCAGTTTGGTCTCTTTTAAATAAATCTTTACGAGCATGACACAGCGCTGAATGAAGAAATTGGTCTTGTGTTTGTTCCCAGGAAGTAACCGGTACCAGATCCTGCCGCTCCACTCTCAGATCCCCCGAGAGGAGCAGAGGAGGGTGTTTGAACCGGTTCCCGACAACATCAGGAAGGTACCAACTGTAAAACCTGTGACCTCAGTTTGTCCAGGGAGACTCAGACTCAGAGAAACGAGGTTCTATAATCTGGAACGTCCCTGACTGACTCAGTGATCATATTTCCACCATTGGACAGCATGTAAAACATGTGAACAAGACAAACACCAGCAGCCAGAAATGAGAAAATACTCACTGCAATAAAAGTCCTCTTGAGGGCTTTTACTTTGAAACAATTACAGGAAGTGTTGAGTTTAAATTATGTAACTTAAACATGACAAATGACTGAAAACAAGGCTCTGACCAAGTCTACATTTCATTTATGTGTTTGGTGACGTCACAGCTCTAAAATCAGGGCTTGACCAGAGGATCCAGACATGGACTGGGTTTAGACCTAGTCCTGTTATTTAGATAATAATAAACAGATCCATCAGATGCTCTCTGAGCAGTTCGGCCTCTGCCTGTTGTAGTGACGATGTTTCACCTGCGGCCTGATGTTGCAGGTGATTCTGTCGACCAACATCGCAGAGACGAGCATCACCATCAACGACGTCGTCTACGTGGTCGACTCCTGCAAGTCAGTCTGAGTATCAGCCGTCACGGTGACCCCTCCCCCGTCCCTCAGACGCTCACACTCACTGTGTCCTCGCTGTGTCCGCAGGCAGAAGGTGAAGCTCTTCACCTCCCACAACAACATGACCAACTACGCCACAGTCTGGGCCTCCAAGACCAACCTGGAGCAGAGGAAGGGCCGAGCCGGGCGGGTCCGACCCGGGTTCTGCTTCCACCTCTGCAGCCACGCCCGCTTCGAGAGGTACCGCCCCCGGTCAGCACGAGGCTCAGCTGCTGTTATTGTCCATCAGCTGGTGATCACAGGTGTGTGTGTGTGTGTGTGTGTGTGTGTGTGTGTGTGTGTGTCTCTGCAGGCTGGAGACTCACATGACTCCAGAGATCTTCAGGACTCCGCTGCACGAAGTCGCTCTGAGCATCAAACTGCTGAGACTTGGAGCCATCGGTCACTTCCTGTCCAAGGCCATCGAGCCGCCGCCGCTGGACGCCGTCATCGAGGCCGAGCACACTCTGAGAGGTATCAGATGAGATGAAGCTTTATTGATCCCCGTGGAGGAAATTCAACCTGGATAAACTGATGTAACAATGTGTTTGTTCACTCGTTCAACAAACGAGCTGCAGGATGATACGTGTTGATGTGTTCCTCAGCTTTAATCGTGTGTGTGTGTGTGTGTGTGTGTGTGTGTGTGTGTGTGTGTGTGTGTGTGTGTGTGTCAGAGCTGGATGCTCTAGACACTAACGATGAGCTGACTCCTCTGGGACGGATTCTGGCTCGACTCCCCATCGAACCTCGACTGGGGAAGATGATGATCATGGGCTGCATCTTCCAGTCAGTCTCTCCTTCTCTTTACTGATGAATCGCCTCAGTGTTATTACTGGGGGGGGGTGACATCAGTACACTGTGTTTCTCTGTCTCCCTCTAGTGTCGGAGATGCGATGTGCACCATCTCGGCCGCCTCCTGTTTCCCGGAGCCGTTCATCAGCGAGGGGAAACGTCTGGGCTTCGTCCACAGGAACTTCGCCGGCAGCCGTTTCTCTGACCACGTGGCTCTGCTGTCGGTGTTCCAGGCCTGGGACGACGTCAGGTGGGTCTGAGCGCTCACGATCATTAGTATTATCTTTATGTACATTTAAATTTCCTTTATTCTCAATATGCTGTGATGGATTGACGTCACACCTGTGTGAGTACAATCATTAATGAGAAGATGAACTGTTTCTCAGCTGCTGAAGCTCGACTCTGGTCCAGTGTTCTGGTTCGTTCTGTCTCTACATCTGATGGATCCTCATTTACATATTTATCAGAGTCTTTTAAAAACTCCACAGTCTGAATCCTGTGTGAGTCTGACTGGTCAGGAGGATCATGAAGGTGTGAACCTGATGATAAAGGAGGATGTGGTCGGCGTCCGTCGGGGACACTGACCCCTGACCCCTCTCTGTGTTCAGGATCAACGGCGAGGAGGCGGAGAGTCGTTTCTGTGAACACAAACGTCTCAACATGTCCACCCTGAGGATGACCTGGGAGGCCAAAGTCCAGCTGAAGGAGATCCTGGTCAACTCTGGATTCCCTGAAGGTACCTGAACGCACCACACATCCCCTCTGGTTAGAGGAAGAAAACCTCGACCAGAGTTTGAGGGAAGAAATACAGCAGCAATATTTAGGAGACAATTTAGTCATTGTTATTATAATTGAAGGATTTCTCATGAACGTCAATGTGTAAACATCATTTAGCTTTAATAAAAATTTCTGTTTTTCTGTTTTTTTATAGTTTTTTATCCCTCTGCGTCAGAACAAACATACAAGAGTGAAAAAAGGTTTTAAAGAATTATATAAAAAACAAAGAGAAAATAAAGGAAAAAAAACAAGAAACAAAAAATTAATAAGTTTTAAGTTTGGACATGAATGAATGTCAGGTTGGTTGGAGCACATCTCCAGATTGTGGTCGTTGTGCTGTGACCCCCCCCAGAGAGTCTGATGACTCAGATGTTCAACGCCGTCGGACCGGACAACAACCTGGACGTGGTGGTTTCTCTGCTGACCTTCGGCTCGTACCCGAACGTCTGTTACCACAAAGAGAAGAGGAAGATCCTGACCACGGAGGGACGCAACGCCCTCATCCACAAGTCCTCCGTCAACTGTCCGTTCAGCAGCCACGACATGACCTACCCCTCCCCCTTCTTCGTCTTCAGCGAGAAGGTAAAGAGCAGTCGTCCTCACTGCTGACATGACCTCCTGTAACCTTTAGCTTCAGGAACAAGCAGCAAACTGTTAAATGTTCATTCATACCGTTTTGATTCTGTGACACTTTGTACTGATGTTAAAGCTCCTCCAGTGTAAAGGTCTCTGTCCATGTGTAGTGTGATTATAGATCAGCTCTAGCTTCTATATTAATACTGTGAAAGTATCAAAGCCTCAGTCCACAGAGAAATGCACACAGCCTGTATTCAGAAACTGAGCTTTAAAACCAGCCGTCAGGACTTCTGGAACTTTGTGATGTCACAACAAAGCAGTCACCAAGCCCCGCCCACCTGGACCCACCATCCAAACCTTGCAGGATTTGGTTTCTCTGAGTGTTTTTACCTGAAATCTGCTTTATTTCTATTGGATCAGTCAGAAAACAGTCAGCCAATCAGAAGAGAGGCTCAGCCTCCTCTCTTCTGATTGGCTCACCGACCTGTTGTTACTAGAGCTCCAGGGAGAAGCCTGAGAGAGGAGATGTGAAACTACACTGAGATGGTTTTTATATCTTCTGATGGATCAACACTTCAAATAAAACACAGAAGAAGAAACATGGAGCTTTAAATTAACTGTATAATATCCCAAGGAAAAAACAAAATATTTTCTGGCAGTTTCATAATGAAGTATAATATTAACGGATATATATTGATCTCAGAAACATGAGACGTTTGTATCTGGACAGAGTGATGAGGTGAGGAGGTTCTAGATTCAAGTATCAACAGAATGATCTTCTTCGTACCTCAGTTTGTCTGGACTTTCAGAAGTTCGGTCACAAAACGAGCCTCAACATCCTGCGTGTTGTGTCCATAAGAAAACTAAATGGCTGTTTCTGTTTTTTTGGCGCCTGTCGTTGTTTTCAGATCCGAACCCGGGCGATCTCGGCTAAAGGGATGACTCTGGTCAGTCCGCTGCAGCTGCTGCTGTTCGCCTGTAAGAAGATCGGCTCCAACGGAGACGTGGTGGAGCTGGACGACTGGTGAGTCCACACACCTGCTGCCAGTCATGTGGAGCGTCCACTGATCAGAAGGTCGGCGGTTCGGTTCCTGTCTCAACTTTTACACATGAAATAGATAGATAGATAGATAGATAGATAGATAGATAGATAGATAGATAGATAGATAGATAGATAAAGAAAGGCTTTTTAAAAACAAGTGCAGCTGAAACCATCAGTTGATTATCAGAAGATTAATTAGCAGCTGTTTTAATATCTATCAAAACTATTTTTTAATGTTCAAGCTCCTCAAAAGTGAAGGTCTGCTGCTTCTAATTATATTATTGATATTAATATTAATAATATTATTAATACTGTTGATGTTTGGAGAAAACAGATGTTGTCCAGGTGTCACTTTGTGTATTGTGTAATCAGTTGATCTATAAAGGAAACAGTCAGTAGATGAATCAGTGATGAAAATAATCAATAATCAATAGTGCCAGTCTGATAGAAGATGGTTCAGATGCATCAGTATAAATCAGTCACGTTTGACTTCAAGGACTCGACGAACATGTTTTACTTTTAAAGAAAAGAACCAAATGTTCAGAACCAGGATTCATCGATTATCAACAGCTGCTGATTACTGACTAATCAATCGATCAGAGCTGAGAGAGATCACGCTCACACACTGAATGTTGTGTGTAAAACTCACCTCCACCTGTCCAGGATCAAGCTGAGGATCCCTCACCAGGTGGCGGGGGGCGTGGCCGCTCTGCGGGCCGGACTGGAGGCTCTGGTGGTGGAAGTGACCAAAGACCCGGAGTACGTGAGACAGATGGACCAGAGCAACGAGCGGCTGCTCAACCTCATCAGACACGTGTCCAGACCCTCTGCAGCCGGGATCAATATGATGAGCAGCACACGGAGGTGACACACACACGCAGAGAGACACACACACACGCAGAGAGACACACACACACACACACACGCAGAGAGACACACACACGCAGAGAGACACACACACAGAGACACACACACACAGAGACACACAGAGACACACACAGAGACACACACACACAGAGACACACACACACAGAGACACACACACACGCAGAGAGACACACACACAGACACACACACACACGCAGAGAGACACACACACACAGACACACACACACACACACACACACACAGAGACACACACACACAGAGACACACACACACAGAGACACACAGAGACACACACAGAGACACACACACACAGAGACACACAGAGACACACACAGAGACACACACACACAGAGACACACAGAGACACACACAGAGACACACACACACAGAGACACACAGAGACACACACAGAGACACACACACACAGAGACACACAGAGACACACACAGAGACACACACACACAGAGACACACACACACACAGAGACACACACACAGATCCAGGTGCATTGTGGGTAATGTAGGTGAAATATGACGTTGAGATGATGTTATGACAATAGCAGCGTATCTTTGTGTCACCATGGAAACACCAGCAGCTGGTTTCACCTGTTGTCTCTCTGCACAGGATGGGAGACGGACCTCGACCCCCGAAGATGGGACGCTTCGATGGAGGAGGAGGAGGAGGAGGAGGAGGGGGGGGTTTCAGAGGAGGAGGAGGATACGGAGGAGGAGGATACGGAGGTGGGGGTTACAGGGGTGGGGGAGGGTACGGGGGAGGTGGATACAGGGGAGGTGGGGGCTACAGAGGAGGTGGAGGAGGAGGTTACAGAGGAGGTGGTGGATATGGAGGAGGAGGAGGTTATAGAGGAGGTGGGGGCTACAGAGGAGGAGGAGGAGGGGGAGGAGGGTACAGAGGAGGTTACAGAGGAGGTTATTGACATCCTGGCAGCACGATGACATCATCACCACAATGACATCAGCACCATCATCAGTTTCTCGATGTGGTCTGGTTTTCATGTGAAGTCCAGAACTGGGACAAGTCGTCTACTGAAGATGATGATGATGATGATGATGAAGATGAAGATGAAGAAGATGATTATGAAGATATGCTGCTGTAAACACTCTTCTGATCTGTGAGTCTCTGAACCTGTTTGTTTATTGATCATTTGTATCTGTGGAAGCTTCATCAATAAATGTTTGATATTTGATCTGCAGCTGTTTTGTTTGTTTTTCTTTTTTAAATAAAGTTTTTATTGTAAATTGTTAAACTGGCCCCAGGTCCCTAAATCCCCAGTAAACCCCCTGAGTTTAAATGACTGACAGACTACATGTCCCATCAGGCCCGGGTCCAGGTGTGGACTCTGGACTCCAGGTCCTGGTTCGAGTCCAGACCACGACGATCCAGTTCAGTAGAAGCACAAATCTTCATAAACTGTGAAGTTTAAGTGGAAAATCGTCAGTTTCACGTTGAGTTTTATTGTAACTGTGTTTTGTTTGTGGTGGAAACAGCTGATGAGCTTTTCATCAGTTTTCACTTCAGCTGGAAACGTGAATTTTTCAAACATGAAAACTGGACTTTAGTTTTGAACTGAGTTTTTGTCAAACAAAATGTTCAGACAGAAAATAAAATTTCACTGTGATCTGATTTTATTTCAGTCTTGGCAGCTTCAGGCTTCCATAGATAAACTTTTTAAATCACAGGTAAAGATCACAGTTTTCAAGAGAAACTTTATTTACACATTTCCTTTGAACTTTAAGTCTTAATTCATCCTAAATAATAAATGAACTTTTTCAGAGGCTGAATTCAAATGAATTAATAAAAATATAATGTATGAATGTGTTTGAATAATAAATTCATGTGAAAAGAAAACTGTAGATGTGAGCAGCAGGCGACCAGCAGGAGGCGCCGTCTGACTGGTTTTAAACTACAAACTAAACATCAGGTTTCAAAAGCTTTAAAAACAGTTTTAAAGCTGATGGTTAATGTGGCCCCCGACCCTCAGGGGCCCCTGGGCTCCACTGTGTGATAATCTAATCAACGGCTCGTTTGTGTGTGAACATGCACCAGTTAAACCCAGAGTCACCTGAAGTGATGAAGTGGGTTCTAATTAATCAAATATCAACATTGTTGTTGATAAATTCATTATCAGTCACTATCAGGCCTGACTGAGCCGTAGAGATGAGGTTGAAGACCACAAGTTATGGTTGAAAGCTCCAGAAGAAAAGCTTTACAGTGGATCCTGCAGGAGTTCAGGAGTCAGAACCACCAGCCGGACTCAGTTCTGGGATCAAAGAGTCACATTTTCATTGTTTTAACTAATTGTTTAAATCCTGATGTTGATTTGATTTCATTCAATTCTGCTTTAAATGTTTTCTAGACTTTTCTGCATGTTTGGGTTTTTGCACTTTTTATTTTGATTCATTTTGTTTTTGTTTCTCGTCTCAAAAACAGAAAATTTGAGACTTAATTGGTTTAAAAGTGTCAGAATCATTCTGATCAAATCTCACATGAAAACACCTTCAGTCTGTTTGTCAGATTCATGTTTGACCTCTGACCTCTGGCATGGGTGTGAAAGTGCTCTGATAGTTGATGCGGTTGTTGAAGATCTAATCAGAGCTGAACTGTGTGTTAATTAACACCTCGTTAAGTCTCTTCATCATCTGTTTGTCTCCTCTGATCACATCCAAAGGTCCAGAAGAAAAACCCATTAAAAGAATCTATTTAAACAATTATTCTGGTCTCAGTTTGGAGGAGAGTCAGCACAACTGTAACTCTGTATTTTATTTTATTTTATTTTATCTTTATTTTGTTTTATTTTCCTCAATTTGAGATGCATTTACTGTGTTGTGTTTATACTGTCATATTTTTTATTATTATTATTATTATTTGTTAACAAACAACATTTAATCTGTGGCAGGTAAACACACAGTAACTAAACACACAGTAACTAAACACACAGTAACCTGACTGAGATGATGTTACCAGCTCTGAAGCGTTTTTCAATTAACAAAAGCAAAAAATACAGAATTAATAAATAAAACGAGGAGAAAAACTATAAATCTGTGTATGTTTTATTATTATTATCCTGCTGTTGATCACTGCAGTAGAGTCATGTATGGAAGTCAAACTCTGCAGGAAAAGGTGAAAGAATAAAAACACTCATGGCAAATCAAAAAAGTTTACATTTATTAAATAATGAATCAGTTATGAGATTATAGTTGTTGATTCTATGTCATGATTTCTAATATTTTTGTTTTTTCACATTTCTAAATTTGATTATTTTTGTTTTTCTGACACTTTCAGGGATTTTTTCATAGTTTACAGGATAATTAATGAAATGATTATTAATTCAACAATCAGATTAAATTCATCCAAACTTCCTTCAGTTGCTGGTTTGTGAGAAAATAAAGACGCTGTTCTTCATCATGTGGGAAAGTAAGAAGTCAAATGAAAAAATTGATTGATTAATGTTTGATTTCCATCCACTGAAGAGGAGATTAACAACTGATGGAGGTGGAGGGTGGTGTTTAGTTTTAATGGGGTCTCTGAAAGACCCTAAACCTTCGCGGGGTTTGGTTCTGCAGGACTGTCTGAGGTTTGATTCCAGAGTTGACTCGGAAGTTGCCGGAGCGTCCTCTGCGCCTCGGACCTGCGCAGTAGCGGACTGGGTGTAGTCTGGAGTCCCGTCTTTTCCTGCTGGATTTGGTGCATGGCGGCGGACACAAAGAGTTGAGGCCCCGATCCCAGACCCTCACACAGCAGCACAGCCGGGAGACGAGCTCTGGACGCGGCCTGGAGCCGAGAGAAGCCGCCGCTGCCCAACTTTCCCCGCATGTTTCTACTTGATGCGTTTTACTGTTTCCTCGGGAATCGGTCGGTAACCGGATAGTTACCGAAAACTTCGGACGAGTTCAGGGAGAGTTTGTGTCGGAGCCGCGCACACAGTTTCAGGTCTCGGAGGAGGACGGACAGGACCGAAAAAATGCGAAGTTTGATCCGGGCTCTGGTCGCTTGGAGCTGGGTGGCGGCGGTGTGTGTCCGCGCCGCCATGGACGAGTGTTCGGACGAGCAGGGCAGACCGCAGCGCTGCATGCCCGAGTTCGTGAACGCGGCTTTTAACGTGACGGTGGTGGCGACCAACACCTGCGGCTCTCCGCCGGAGGAGTACTGCGTGCAGACCGGCGCCACCGGGGTCACCAAGTCCTGCCACATCTGTGACGCCCGGGACCCGCGGAACCACCACAGCGCCGTGTACCTGACCGACTACAACAACCAGCAGGATACCACCTGGTGGCAGAGCCAGACCATGCTGGCGGGCATCCAGTACCCGAACTCCATCAACCTCACCCTGCATCTCGGTAAGAGCCCTCGATATCATCCCCGTCTCTCCGCGGGAGAGATCCGCACCGCCGAACTCCCCTGAAATAACCCACAAGTTAAAGTTTTCATGCTTCCTGACAAAAAAGCCTCCGTGGCACAACACGAAAACATACATTTTGTAAAACTTCAAGACCCTCTCTTTAATTCGGCTTTCACCATTTATCCTGAAACTTCACTTTGTAGGTAAAATTCCGACCTAAATCCACAGTTTGACTATCAGCAGAAACACGCGAAAATACACCGTCGCGAGCAGCGAGAAACAGCTGTGAAAAGTTGTTAGTTGAAAAGTTAATGAAGCAAATAAGTGTTTGTTACAATAATTGTTTGCCGAATTGAAGATTATATCATTACAATTAAAAAATACCATCGGTTATGTCACATGACGTAAGCATGATTTCAACGTCGAAGGGAAAGTTTAAATCGGTGATGTTTTCTATGGAGTTTGGTGAAACTTTCAGATGTGTGGAGATAATCCGGTTGCTTAACTCTGAGTTATGCAGCACCTTTTTCTGACATGAAAGAAATATGAAACAGGAGGAGGAGGAGGAGGAAGGTCACAGATCAGCTTCTCCTCAGCAGGTTCCTGTGTTTAAAGTTTGAGAACTCAGTGATGCAACAAGGGAAGTTTAGGAATGAAGGATTTTTTTTGCTGCCAGCAATATAACAGGAGGACATAGTTTTCATTGTTGGGGGTGGAGTGTACTTGTGTGTGTGGGGATGGGGGTTGCAGCTATTTTCTGACATGACTGTGGGTCAGCCTCTCCAGCTTCAGTTCCTGCTGCAGCTCCATCACACTCACTCTGGGATTTCCAGTGTTTGTGTGACAAACTGCTCAGACTGAGAGCAGCTCTGCCTCCAGCCTGTCAAACAGCCGGAGGTGTGAAGTTAGCAGTCTGTGGATTCAGTTGTTGGGGGGGGTTGAGGGACCCAGGCGTCCTCTGAGGACAGCTGGTCATATATAGGGACTGAAGGAAGTGGAGTTGTTTGGGGATCAGTTACATCATAACTCAGGAAGTGTGTGTGATCGATGAGGAGTCGAGTGATTCTTCACCTTTGCTGTTTGTCTTTAATTCTGATTCTGACACTTAAATCTCCTGAGATCAAACTGGTTCCTCAACTTTTAGTCACAGACAAGTTCATCTTTTCATGCTTCCTGATAAAAACGGCTCTGTGGCATGAAAACATATGTTTTCTAAAACTTAAAGACCCACTCTGTAATTCGGCTTTCACCCAACATCCTGAAACTTCACTTTTTAGGTCAAACTTAAATCAACAGGTTTGTTCGGCTGAGTCACGGGAGATTAATCAGTGACTGTTTTGATCATCGATTCATCGTTTGACTGATTTTTCATGTCGACATTTTTTGGTTTCAGCTTCTCAGACCTGATCATCTGATCACCTGATCATTTGCTGCTTTTCTTTCTCTGATGTCATGAAGCCGAGTCTGTGGGTTCAGTGTTTCTTTATTTCTCGGGTCAGTGTTTCCGTCTGGAACAACGTAGAGAAACAACTAGGAGGTTGAAGCAACTTATTAGTTTAGTTTTACGTGAATGAACGTGTAAAATGGGAGTTTGCTTGGTTAGTTTTAACTGGCAGACTCTGGACTCTGGTCCTGACAGGCTACAGGCCACCTCCTAGCCTTTTCCAGAGCTTTCAGCTGTATCTCATGGTCCTCCTCAGAGGACTGAGCTCTATTGTCTGTGTTGAAAAAGAGACTTTTACCTGATTTCCTTCAATAGAATAAAGAATAAAATGTTATTACGGTGGCCCAGAGGGGTCAACACAAATACAAAAGTCACAACATATTGACTTGTCTTTGTGTTGACCCCTCTGGGCCACTACATAATTATCTGCTGATGAAGGCCATGAGCTGTGGCTGAAAACATCTTGTAAGTCGGCCTTGAGTGAAGAATTTTGAGTGTTTTTCCTTTTGGTTTTTAATCTAAACCACTGCAGTCATCTCCCTCTTAACAGATCACTAATCAATAGTTCCACTTCAGCTCTGAAGACGTCACCTTCAAAACTTCAGATCAGATCAATCTAATGTTTATCTGCAGCTCTGCCCCCCCCCCCCCCCCCCCCCCCCCGCAGTTACCTGCTCTGTTCCCTCCCGTCTTAATTTTCCTGGAGCTCCGACTCGGCCTTTTAAAAATACCTGTCTATTTCTGAAGCCTGTGGCTCCCGGCAGCTCCACTGTTTTTAACCGGGCCTGACATTCCTGAGTGGTTGGCTCATGCTGCTGGTTGGAGGAGCTGCTGCATTTGTGGCCTCAGGTACTGAACTCTGATTAGAGCTGCTTTTAATTACACGCTGTGTTTTCCCCCCGCGGGCCGTGTCTTCTTTGTTGGTGTTTGCTTCATAATTAGAGCTCGGGCTTTGTTCTGCAGATCAGATCTGTGGAGTCAGAACGTCTCAGCTCTGCTTTATTCAGTGAGTGTTGAAGCTGCAGCGACGCTCTTATTTTTAAAAACCAGCTGTCGCCTGGAGCTCAGACAGGAAGTGAGTGCGTGGGCGCCACCAGCTGATGTCAGTTTCATGTAGAGCTGCAGCTACTGGTCGATTAATCAACAGAAAATTAATCTGCAGCAGTCTTGGTTATCAACCAATGGTTCGAAGTCATGGTTTAAAAATACCAAAATTCCCTGGTTCCATCTTCTCAGGCTGTGACAGAGTCCCTCTTTCCTTACTCGTATGTCTTTGTAACCAACAACAAACAACACATGTCCCGTAGTGGTGGTTTTTAGTCTCTTTGTGGATGTTTTCAGTCTTTGTGGATGTTTTCAGTCTCTTTGTGGATGTTTTTAGTCTCTTTTTGGATGTGTTTAGTCTCTTTGTGGATGTTTTTAGTCTCTTTGTGGATGTTTTAAGTCTCTTTGTGGATGTTTTGAGTCTTTGTGGATGTTTTCAGTCTCTTTTGGGATGTTTTTAGTCTCTTTGTGGATGTTTTTAGTCTCTTTGTGGATGTTTTGAGTCTTTGTGGATGTTTTCAGTCTCTTTGTGGATGTTTTCAGTCTTTGTGGATGTTTTTAGTCTCTTTTTGGATGTTTTTAGTCTCTTTGTGGATGTTTTCAGTCTTTGTGGATGTTTCCAGTCTCTTTTTGGATGCTTTGAGTCTCTTTGTGGATGTTTTGAGTCTTTGTGGATGTTTTTAGTCTCTTTTTGGATGTTTTTAGAGTCTTTGTGGATGTTTTCAGTCTTTGTGTGTGTTTTTTGTCTCTTTTTGGATGTTTTTAGTCTCTTTGTGGATGTTTTTAGTCTCTTTGTGGATGTTTTGAGTCTTTGTGGATGTTTTCAGTCTCTTTGTGGATGTTTTCAGTCTTTGTGGATGTTTTTAGTCTCTTTTTGGATGTTTTTAGTCTCTTTGTGGATGTTTTCAGTCTTTGTGGATGTTTCCAGTCTCTTTCTTTGTGAATGTTTTCAGTCTCTTTGGATGTTTTCAGTCTCTTTGTAGATGTTTTCAGTCTCTTTGTGGATGTTTTGAGTCTTTGTGGATGTTTTGAGTCTCTTTGTGGATGTTTTGAGTCTTTGTGGATGTTTTCAGTCTGTTTGTGGATGTTTTCAGTCTCTTTGGATGTTTTCAGTCTCTTTGTGGATGTTTTTAGTCTTTGTGGATGTTTTCAGTCTCTTTGTGGATGTTTTCAGTCTTTGTGGATGTTTTGAGTCTTTGTGGTTGTTTTGTTTGAGATATTTTAACATATATTACTGTTAAAATCCTCCATTATCCCGCTTTTGCTTGTTCTCACTGAACCAAACACAGTCGCGTGATGCCTGAATGTGACGGCGTTCAGGACACGTGATGTGTAACACAACATCGCTGGCGTGCTTTAGGTGCCTTCATTGTTGTTAAGGAGCAGTTGCTTCTCACTGTCGCCCACGCCTGTGGCTCCTCCCTCTGGATTCTGATTGGTCCACAGGCGGACACCTTTAGATGAGACAGATGCAGCTGTAGGTCAGATATTTGTGTTTCAGCTGTTGTGACGGTGTAATCACATCTTTGAGTGAGTTTTCTAAATGTTTATGTTGTGGACAGGAAGTGGTGCTCTGACTGTTTGTTGAAGGTTGAAGGGCTCGTTGAGCTTCTTGTCTGCGTGAAGAGTTTGTTTCCTGTTGATCTCATCCTGTTTAGAAAAGTCTCAGTATTTTCTACTTTTCTGCCAAAGTGATTTTTAACAGACGTTTTAGAAACGCCAGAGGAAGAGGAGCATTGTGGGAAACCCTGAGATCAGGGCTTTAATAATGATTTTCATTACGATTAATCTACAGTCCGACATGCTCATCGCAGCCTCACAGAGCCGAGCGTCTGTTTGACCTCTTCCTGTTTGAACAGGTGTAGTTCCTTGTTCACAGTGACATCACCAAGAGAAGCAGGAAGTCGCCTCGTTCAGAGAAGCAGAACATCTGACACTGTTTCACTGTTCTTACTGATGAAATCTGTTTTTAAAATCTGATGAATCGTTTCAGCTCCACCTGAGAATCCACTGGTTGAATTGGTCTCCATCAGTTCTGCATTGATGCTAACGATCGATCGATCAATAGTTTGAAAAAGTGACTGCTCAGGAAGCATGTGGCTCTGACCAATCAGCAGCGAGCAATGTCTCTGCTCATGGTCATTTCGTAGTGATGTAAACAGGTGATTGGTGAGCTGTTGTTGATCTCACCTGCTGAGCTCTGATTGGTCGATGATCACCTGAGTGTTACTCTGAGGCGTGGTGATGGTTCAGATTGAGGCTGAGATGGCAGCAGTCCTAATCTCAGGAAGTGAGTGTGTGTGTGTGTGTGTGTGTGTGTGTGTGTGTGTGTGTGTGTGTGTGTGTGTGTGTGTGTGTGTGTGTGTGTGTGTGTGTGTGTGTGTGTGTGTGTGTGTGTGTGGGGGGGGGGGCTCTTTGAAGTGCTGCAGTGTGTCTGCGGCAGGAAGGCGACGTGTCCGGACTCGACTCTCAGCTCAGACTTCGAAAAACCCTCAAAGAAGAAAAACCTA